GGAGCGACTAGCGCTCTGGGCGCCCGCTCCGCGGACGCTAGGGCATGGTTGATTGATGTAGTATGGGCTGACCACCTTCGCTGCGCTGCGGTGAGCTAAGAAACCCTTACTCAAAGCAAAACTACATTTAGTATATAAAAAATACTGTGCTCAAGTTATGTTGCGTTGCAACAAACGATGTACACAATATCGTTAGTGTTTACGTGTTCTACATCACCAATTGCCTGTCAATCTACCTTTTCTTGAAGTCATTTTTGACAACATCACTTATAAAAATGTCTGCGTGACGGCTGGCTGAGTATATATGCCACGTGCTCGTGATAACCAAAACATATACATGGGGTCACTGTTGCTTTCACGGTACTTTTGCATCGGGATGGTAGTTTATTGTGCTTACGCTTGTGATGTATGAGTCATTATGACCAAGCGCATTATTTACTGAAAACAGGTCATACCGCAGAAATACATGCATGCTAACCGCACGTCTGTTAGCAGTAGTCAACGCATATATATAAGCGCGGGGAACACCTTATAGCCACCCGAGCTCTTATCTCGACCATTATGGATAGGGCACTAAAGTACAGTACTACGTACAGATACATCGACTTGCGACAGCCACTTGTATGGTCTGCATTACCGCACACGTGTTCGTGTCTACGTAGACAGCTACATATCGTAGCGTGTAGTACTCACTTAATACTGTAGTTTTAATTTGTGAGCGCACATTAGTGGAATACGCGCTGTGAACGTTGATAATACATACAGCATGATTTAGCTTATGTCCAAATGAGGGAGTGTACTTGTCGTCTACGTGACGTGTATACGGATAGGAACGGCCAGCTCGCGGCTGCTCCACAGTAGATACCATGAGCTAACTATCATATGAAACGCGCTACGTTCTTTAGGTGCGTCAACACGTTTGGTAGCGCAACAATCAGCTTACGGTATGTGCGGTCCCAAACCTTGCGCTGCCCGCCGGTATACAAATTACAAAGATAAGCGGGGTAAAGGGCCTAAAGTGTATATTTTCCAGTTACTTGCTCTTCTACGGCTTCTTTTGCTTGATGTACTTGGCGTTTCGGGCGGTCAGCTTGCGATGGCGGCTGAGTCTCTTTTTCTTCTTGGGGTACCAGTCGGGGCCCATCGCCTTCATGACGTTTGCCAGGCTTTCCTGGCGGCGCACTTTGGTCGAATCAGGTGGTGGGAGCTTTTCCTCCCAGAACTCAACCGCCTTTGGGCCGTTCTCGCAGGTAATACAGCGCCGCATGATGTCCCGCCCGCTGATTGTACGGAACGCGTAACCGTACTGCAGTTCCCGCAACCGACGCAGCGCGCCCGGGTATCCGTCGTAGACCGCTTCGGGCTCAGCAGAAGTGGGTCAATCTTCGCCTCGCATTGCTTGCACGTAGGGCCCACCATTTTGCAAACTGTGAGTATGATAGCAAATTATATTGTTTTAACCAATTACTTGCGTCCAAATATTAGCCAATAGCACGGTACTGTAAGGCTGGTATTTATTATTAGGCAAAATATTAAAATGTTTTTAAATATTAGTATTTGGCTTAGCTTTAATATATTATTATCAGATTTCCAAACAAATACATATTTTACATGCAATATAAATCGACTAAAACAATTATCGATCGTGCGCGCATGTATTCGTCGGGTACGGTGCACGGGAGCAGATACCGCAATGACCGTGCAGCCGCGCGCCTTCATTGCACGGTGGCAGTGTTGAGTGCCAGGTGAAGTAAAAAAGATATATATTCGCAAAGTCTCTACAAAAAGTGCTGGTCGTGAAGCCTACTTTAATAATAATAGAGACGATGCTATCGTCTCTACTTTAGAAAGTGTCTGGAGAATTGCATCGCCGAGCTCTTACAAATGCGGCCTATGAAGCTTTTTTTTAATAATACTAGTACTATTAATATCGTCTTTACTTTGAAAAGTGTGTGGAAAATAACATCGCAGAGCTCTTACAAAATACTGGTCTATGAAGTCTACATAAATAATATTACATATCTCTATTTGAGAAGTGTGCAGAGCTCTTAGAAAATAAAGTGGTTACTGTGCCCGATTTGCAGTACTTACGACAAATTTTGCGTAGCTGAATGTCAATAATCAAGTATCTGCGCAGCTCGCCTGGCTGTTTGCAACCAATCGATGCGTTTCGTGCTCGGCAGAAATGTTTACCTTACGTCCAATCGCGAGGGCGATAGACGGTCTGATCGTGCGACAGATCCAGTCAGTGTCGCAGGTCGGTCAATATTGCCCAATCCGGGCGCGAGTTAATTGTGTGACGCTTTTGGATATATTTGTAATTTTGGCATAGTTAGGTCGAGTCAGAAAGGTAGGCGCGGTCGGTAAGATGGGAGGATACTGTATTTGATAGGCCGAGTGTAGCCATGCGAAAAGGCGGGCAAAAGCAGCAAGACAGGGAGTGCGACGGACTGATTGACAGACGGACGGACAGACCCGCTGCAAGGTTAGGGGGCGGGAAACTAGCGCTCTGGGCGCCCGCTCCGCGGACGCTAGGGCATGGTTTGTTGGTGTTAAAAGAGACGACCACCTTCGCTGCGCTGCGGTGTGCTTAGATTTTTTACTTAGAGCGAAGCTACATATAATAGATATATACTGTGATCTACTTATGTTACGGTTCAAACCAACACTGCACACAATATTCTTAGTACTCACGTGCTATGATAGACTTGATCACGGCTTAACGTGATCTGCAAGATGAGAACTATCTTACCCGAGAAGGTTCTGTCTGTATCTCGTTTTAGCGCATTGCTCCAAAAATAACACGAATCGGAGGCGCGCGTGGTTGCAAAGCTAATATATGCTGTAAGGAAGACGGGTCAGTATCAATGATGCTACGAAATATGCGTAGATCAGTGAGGAATCCCAGTGTAGCTGGAGTAAATACGCCTACTCAAACATATTACCCATCTGCTCGTCGTCGCCGTGAGGCAGTCGCCACATATCATCGATTGCGACGGTCTAATAGAGCAATGTTAATCAGCTCCTCGCGCGAAGTATCTTTTAGGATAGGTAGTATTTGCCGATGGTCACCACAAACATCAATATTATGCTTTGAAATTATTTTGCTGAGCTGTTTGTGATGTTACTGAAGGTTATTTCCACTATCTTCCGCATGCATGTATCTTACTTGCATAGCTGACTTTCTTTCTGACTTATTTGCACAGCTACTGACTGACAGAGTGGCGTAAATTCTTTCCGACTGACATTATACTGGGTCCGATATGTACGACAAACATACGAAGATATATGGCTGTAGGCAGAGTATCAGATCGTAATGATGGTTAGACTTGAATTGAATAATAGTTCATGTACATTAGATGGAGTACTTTCGCTGCCTACTTATCAGCTCGGCGTGCTATTTGATGTGTCCGTGCATATATCGCAAGGTCGTTATTGAGTGTATTTGCCACGCGCTCGTGATAGTTCAACCTATGCATGGGTCACTGTTTCTTTATCGGTACTTTTGCATCGTGGTGCTAGCTTTCGGCGCCTACGCTTCTGATGGATCAGCCTATATGGCCAAGCGCGCCACTAACTGGACGTAGGTCATAACCGCGGTGATACAGACAGGCTGACCGCGCGTATGTAGGTAGTGGTCAACGCGAAATATGCGCGCGGTGGGTACACCTTATAATCATTCGCGACTCAACCGGACTCTCGTCTTCACCATTATACACAGGAAACTAAAATACAGTACTGCGTACAGGCACATCGACTTGCGACGACCACCTGTGTGGTCAACACTACCATAGACGTGCTTGTGTCTATGAAGACGGCAGCTTATTCGTCGGGGGCATAGTGCTCACTCTATACTGAAGCTTACATTCGTGAGCGCACATTTATGAAATATACGCTGTGAGCGCTGATGGTACAGATAGCATGGTTTTGCGTATGCCCACGTGAGCGAGTGTACGTGCCATCTACGGTGACGCGTAGGCGGATAGGAACCACCAGCTTGCAGTGGTGCACAGCTGATTCCATGTGCTAATTACTTTATGAAGCGCGCTACGCTCTGTAGGTGCGTTAACACCATTGTCAGCTTACCGTATGTGCGGCCCCAAGCCTCGAACCGTCAGCCAGTATACCAAAAACAAAAATAGGTAGGAAAATGGGATCATAAAAGGGTATATTTACCATTAGTTGTTCTTCTGCTGCTTCTTTTGCTCGATGTACTTGGCGTTTCGGGCGGTCAGCTTGCGAGGGCGGCTGTGCCTCTTTTTCTTCTTGGGTACCAGTCAGGACCCATCGCCTTCTTGACGTTTGACAGGCTTTCCTGGCGGCGTACTTCGGTTGAATCAGGTGGTGGGGCTTTTCCTCCCAGAACTCAACCGCCTTTGGGCCGTTCTCGCAGGCAATACAGCGCCGCACGATGTCCCGCCCGCTGATTGTACGGAACGCGTAGCCGTAATGCAGCTTCCCGCAACCGACGCAGCGCGCCCGGGTATCCGTCGTAGACCGCTTCGGGTTCAGCAGAAGCGGGTCAATCTTCGCCTCGCATTGCTTGCACGTAGGGCCCACCATTTTGCAAACTGTGAGTATGTTAGCAAATTATATTGTTTTAACCAATTACTTGCGTCCAAATTTTATTTAAGTGATCAATTATTGGCAATACTTTATTGCAGTACCGAATAGCTCATAAATATTTTAAAACAAATGGGCTCGAGAAAAAGGCTGGGTCAGTTCATATTGTCCTTGGAAGCAGGAAAAATGCATCCTGCAGCAGTGTAGACACTTCCACAATGTTGGCGCCCAATAGAACACACTTCAGAGTAGGAGAACCAGACACATACTTTAAAAGCATTCGCGGTTATCGACAAGATCTTATTGCATATTTTTTACTCGACAAGCATCAGTTTCTAGCGGTTACTTGCAGGTGATCCAACATTTACTCGAAACTAATCTTTTCCCGTACACAATCTCCGTTTTGTTGAAGCGGCGCCCCTCGAGGATCAGACAACATGGAGACATCGAGCACAAGCGGGGCGTTCACCGTCTCGCTGCACTCGCTAACGTGGTATCCTGGTGGTGCCGATGAGGAGACAGCAGAGCGTCAGATTTGGGGACTTGTGCAGCTCGTGTCGCCCCCGGAGCAGCCTGTCGAGAGCTTTTGGTTTGGCGCGGAGAACCCTAATATGATGACCAGGAGCTTATCGATTTCAACACGGAGCAGCAACCAGCCGCTGCAACTTGACTACAACCAGGGATCTAGGGCCGTTCCACTCACGATTAATGCTATGCAGGAACTGGTGCAGACGCAGCTGCTACTGTCGCTTTACTCTGGTGTGTCCAGAGCTCGTTCAGTGGATTATCTGTTGAGCAAGACACTCGTGCCATTAAGAACGCCACTGCTAGGAGGGAGAAAGAGGCAAGAAGTGGAGTTCGTGTCGTCTGGAGAGAATTTTGTGGTGGATCTCGACGTCCAATGTGACGTGGCGCTGGCTGACGTTTTGCTGGGCGCGAGGATACTGGGGCTTCATTCGCCTCAGATATTGAATTTGCCAGATGAATGGGCAGCTCCAGGATGCATAAGCAATGAAGAGGCGATTGCGTTTTGTGCATCACAGCAGAACACGGCTTCCTACGAGCTGAAGATTGCATTGCCACGTCTGGGAGAGACAGATAACGGTGTAAATGGTAGCGGTGGAGAGGGAGGAACGATGTCGCCGTATAGATTTGATGCTACAACATTGAAGGGAGGGAAACTACATTTTGAACCCCGAGTGCAGGTTCAAAGTGTGTTTTCAGGGTCGGAGCAGTACATGGTGGTGGAAGAAAGTGTTAAGCCGATAGCAACAGATGGCGAACAGCAAGAAGAGCGATCAGCTACACCCGATTCAAGTTTAACAGGGAAGTGGAGTGTCCAATTTCCCTCAACGGCTGAAGTATCTGTACTATATTTCAAGGTAAGGAAGCGTGTGTCTTGCATATTAATCATTTTGTTTTGGCTGTAACATAGGCAGCTGAACTAATATGAATTTTCCTTCTTAGAGCTCCGTCGAACGTTTAATTGAGTTTCTTGTGGTGGAGAAACACCTGAATGGAACATTACGAAGAAATTCTGTCGAAAACTCGAGCGGAAAAGCAATAGATGCCATTTCAAGTGAAATAAGTTTGTATCTGCACGAGCTTCTCGCGCCCGGTACCACTCAAATCGTGCCAAGGGCTCCATTACGAACCCTGTTACCTGTTACACGAGCCTTCCTGGAGCAAGAGCTGGCAGTAGCGCCGTCGAATGAGGACAAAAAGAGGTTCCAGGCAGCGTTAGCTGACTACGATACGACTATGCAGAAGGCATTATCTCTTACCAACGCAGCGATAACCGCCGGAACTCACGTCGAAATCGTGGCGGAGATATTGCATACACCACTGGTTTTACAGCCACCTCAAGGTCTGGAGTCGCCTTCGAAATCAATAACGCCGCTCATTGCCCCGCGCGATTTGGAAGCTGAGGGTGAAGAACGTCGCGACATTTATGGGGATCTTCGTACAGAAATCCGTTTGGTGGCGGCAAGTCTTTTGCGCGAGTACACGGAGGCGTTCCACAATGGAGACGGAAGACAAGGAATAGATGACTATGCAGCTGATGCTCCAACTCTACGTGATGATAAGAAGCAGACTCTCATCTACCGACTAAATACTCAAGGTGCGTATCACTCACTCAAACAATCACTCAAGAAGCGGATTGTGCCTGTCATACGCGAAACATTTTCTCGTGGTGAAGTCACATTTGAAGGAAATGAAGAGGACGGACAAATTCAACTGGACGAGAAAACCGTGGAGGAAAAGAAGAAGGCACGATTCGGCCAGCTGTACGCTCTTCTCATGCGAGAAGTTAATGCAGTTTTGAATGAAACGTTCTATTCAGATTCGAACGCGCTGATGGAGAAGACATACGCGACAACTGAGGGGCGACCAACACCAAACGAAATCGAGGCTGTGTTAGAGATGTTGCGGCTGAAAACTGTGGAGAACGAGGTTATTGGCGATTTCGAGAAAAGCGAGATGCTGCATTTGGACCGTATTGCGTACGCAGAGCAGCATGCGGCTCATGTCCATATACACCCGAAGAGTCACGAGCAGGTTGATGTGGGTGCGGCATCCGCATCTCAATTACTGATGAATGTTTGGTACGACTACGCACGCTTCTGTATTGCTCAGACACGACTTGAAAAGGCAGGGGCAGCTTTACAGCAGTGCTTGCGTCTCGATTCTCCCGCTATTCGACCGTTGCTTGCTCTCGTAGCCGTCCAGTGTGAGCTGCGCGACTTTGTGCGCGCCGAGTCTTTCGTAAAGAATGCTGTGATTGAGGCAGAGGCCAGTGCTCAATCAGGCGACGGGGCTAGTGCTGGGTGTAGTGCACTGGCTCACGCTTTATTTGCGTATGTTTTCTCACAATTCGAAGGAAAAGACCCGACTGGAAATTATACGCTGTTCGAGCTGCTCAAAGCACAGAAAATGCTTCAGATCAGTATAGGCAACGTTAAGCAGCGAGACATTTCGTGCGTGAGTGCAGTCTGGATAATTCTAGCGGAGTACGCTCATGAGTGCAGGCTGTGGGGGGTCACGCAACAAGCGTTGCAACTAGCTGATAGTAATTTGAAATCTCGTGATATAGTTTGTGCTGAGTTACGAGTCATGAAACGAGCAATGGAAGCCGATCTGTGTCTGATAGATGGTGTTGCTGGTGAGGGCGCTGCTTCTCGGGCGATCAAGCTGCTGCAGGAGGCCTTAGAAGTCGATGCATCTCATCCTGTTGCATGGTTCACTCTGGGGACAGTGTATCTCCGACAAGATTCTCAAACCAAGACAGCAATAGAGTGCCTGCTGCGAGCACTGGAGCACCGTGGAACCCTGCACTCAGAAGTGCTGCGACTTACATTATACTTGCGCCTGGGCCTAGCTCTTCTTCACTCGTCACAGTTCGAGACAGCCGAGTCGACGTTCCTGTTAGCGTGCGACGAGTTTCGTATAGCTTCGTGCTGGCTTGGTGTTGGGATTGCTTGTGTTCGGCTCGAAAAATGGGAACGAGCGCAGATGGCTTTGGCGGAGGCCAATAGATTGGACTCTTGGAATCCCGACGTGTGGGGATATCTGGCGCTTCTATCTCTAACAGCCCCCGCCGCTGTGAGTGGTCGTGATGAACAAGATGTCCAGCATTTTGTTTCGCAAGCCTTAAGACATAACCTCAGCAAACCAGCTCTACTGCGAGAGCTCAGTAATGCATTCATGGCGATTGATCGTCTTGAAAGCGCAGAAAGGCTGCTGCGGCGGTCTTTAGCCTGCCAAGAATCTTCTCTCACCCGCAAAACACTGGCAGATGTGCTAGCTGCCCAGAATTGTGCCGAGGAGGCGCTTCGACAATATACGCATTCGCTTGAAGTGACTGACGACGCGGAAGAACGTTGCGCTTTGTTGGAGAAATGTGCTCAGCTGCTTATCACACTCGGTAGACCAGAGGAAGCGACCGAGTACAAAACCATCGTACGACAGTTTCAGGCGAGCAGCTAGCCTTCATTGATGGGAGTGTAAAATCTTATTGAAAATGTTTTCTACTGATTTACTTCTTCATTCTTTGGTTTTCAAGGAGCAATGTTGCTCATAAATTATTGATGTTGGTAAATCCGAGCAGCATTCCTTTGTTGATGTATCAAGCGAAGAGCTCATTTGACAGTGTGCGAATTGATGAGACGTTGGCGGTCAAAATGTCCCGAGTGAGAACGGTGGCAACCGTCTTTGGCACTGTTCCCGTTCCCCCTCTGGAGTGACCTGCGACCCAGCCACTTGAAGTCGCACGGCAAGAGGATGAGCGGCCGTCGGGGCTCGTCGGATTTCGTTGCCCGGATTGGTGCCTGACCCCGTCGCAGTGTGGAGAGGAAGCAAAACTGCCCGTTGAGTACGCCGTCAAAGGTGCATCTAAGGCCAAGGTACTACCTGTCGTCACAGCGATGGACAAGGTCCCTGGGACGGACGACACGGACTACGGCGATACCGCAACGTACATATGCGAAGGACAGCGAAGCGAAGGGAGGGACGTCACAGGCAACATTGTACCCAAGGACGTGCTGACGTGCGGTTCGACTGAGTAGGGATACGGTACCGGTGACATTGTGGGCGAGGGGAGTTTCGTCAGTCGTGAATTTTACCTAGAAACCCCGAGTTGACTTAATGCATTTGGCTTTATATTACTTATATTGCTGTCTAGAGCTCGCTACCGTTGATCAGCGCAGGCGTCCCGTTCCAGGGCGACTCGCGACACGTGGTGGAGAAGCAAAGTACTGCTTACGCTTTGAAGTAGCTTGAGCCGGCGTGTGAGTGGGGGGGAAGATCGTGATTGGATCGTGGACGTTGCTGTAGTGTTGGAATTCCCACGTGAGCTCTAGCTACAAATGTAGTTAGGAACCTCCCACTACAATACGTCTGCTAGGATAGCAAACGATCGTTCGGGTGGACCTGAAGACCCCAGTTCTGCCCTTGCGCCGGGACATACTGGACCTTGTAAACTACTTATATAGGCCAACAGTAAAATAAGAACACACTACTAGCACGAGCAAAGCTAATAGGTGTTATGAATCCTCGTGGTCCCAACAGCGAAAGGGTACCAGACACGGGTAAGCCATTTACGAGGGCAATGAGTGCTCTTCACTCGGTTGGAAGAATAAAAGGGATGAAACACAAGCACTCCTACTCGTGCAAATAGGCAACAATAAGCCGTCACGTAAGCCTCCCGATAGTAATCGGACTAAACACACAGTCTCTTGGCCTTGCCGGATGAACCCTCGCTACAGAGCTTCGAGCTCACCAACAGGCATAACACACTCAAACAAGCTTGACCAGACGCTTACCTTGAAGCTCTGTGTGCTTGAGTGGGAATTCTGTTCTGTATTTATGTTTACCCTTTCGGGCCTATTCCTAATAAGAAGTCCTAATAATGTTTACACATATCAAGTGAAGTATGATCCGTTGTGGATCTTGTTGCACGCCAAGCGATGTCTGCACCGTCGCATGAGCATCTTTAACAGCTCGCGTCCTTTCCCAGACGGTGAACGTGGTCGCGGAGGCTTCTGCGAACTCATCCCATCCGCCACCGAAAGTTCGTACCGTAGGTGGTCAGTTCTTGGCCGCTGGATGCGAATCCGGCCAGTCCATTAATAATTATAAGGACAGCCTGGATTGAGCGGCATCTGGACCGTATCAAATATTCGTTGAGTGTTTGGTAGTGACACCGTCGAGTCTCTTGCACCTTGGAGTCACCGTACATCACGTGACTGAGGGTTCGTCGCTTGAACATCTTGGGCGGTGTCGCGTCTTTGTCGGCGGGCGATTATCCGCAACTATGGCGAAATCACTACACCACAACTGCCCCTGTTGCAATGGGAGCCACTGAGATGGTGACCGTTGTGACATCCATGTGACTTGCATCTTACTCGACACCCGTGTCGCTCACCTGGCACGGCATGTCGCACGAGTTTGCACCCATGACACCGTATGTCGTACGGGTTGACTGGTGCGGTCAATGACGCCACATGTGCATGTGTGTCGACTCCCAGTGATGTGTACGAATATAGTGCACCTTCTGCCACGCCATCTGATGTCTCCATGCATTGGCTAAAAATGGAGACGCAGACGAAGGTTTCTTCGCGACATTTGTGTACGTCGTGAGATTACCACTCGTTTACATTGGTACACTCGTCGGGCGCCAACACCGATTCCAGTGCTTACGCGGAGGTGCCCACCATGACAGCGTATCCGATCTCTTCCAAGTCGAGTGCGCCTACCCCAGCAAACGCTCTGGTGGGTGGCGCCCCATCCTTTCCATGTCTGACGTATTATACCCGGACGCGTACATGCTCAACGACCGCAAGAAAAGACTAGAAGTGCCTTGAATGTTCGCTGCTATTGTCAGCACCTTCCATCCCAACTGTTTTTTATGTTGACATCGCCAATGAGGGCTCTCTGGCTTGTGCTGCCTCTTCGCTGCTGGTCTGTTCATCCGTATCCCATTGAAGAATACGCCCCGGGTATATTTCAAGTAAGGGGGCATGGCGATCACTGTCGTTACCTTCCTCGTTACCAAGTTCCCTGCCTTCCTCTACAGCGTAGCAAGCTACCAGACGTATCCCCGAGTACTCAATTTTCGCGGCTGTCGTTTGTCGTGCAATAATGTTTGTGTTTCTTTATCCATAATTCACAACTCGATCTAGTCCACGTAAATCACCGAATTTGAATGCGAAGTGTTGATGCAGTATCGTTTTTCGTCTGATACCACAGGCTGCTTCATCCTGTGGTCAGTTCAACGCGTGACCACGCCATGCTAGTGTTCTTAAGCCACCAGAGACATCTGCCTCCGGTGTTCACTCTTTTTGCCACGCAGAGAATCATAAAGTAAGCCTCCACAGGATAGACTCGACTCTAGCTCCCAAGGCGGCTCGTCATAGCCAACCCAATATTCCCGTACAGCGCGTTCCGTGCTCGTAGACGATAAAAGACAATCATCGAGAATGGGCTTCACTTGTCGTGTTGTTGTTTTATTAGTCTTGACCTGTTTGCCACGTTCCGTGTACGGCCACACTTTTCTTCCACCCTCAAGACGAGACGTCTGCAGTCCTCCTAAAGCATCATCTGGCTGCAACGGATCTTTGGGGTAGTCGGGCGAGGGTTCGTCTACGAATTCGTCAAGCTTAGGTGTTTTCGGCTGTCATTGATCCATCACTGACAATATGCCATTGCTGCCAAAATCGTTCGAAATGTCGCCTCGCTCGTAGTTTTCACCCTCGAGATATACGCCTTTCGGCGTACAATGTACGTGCGGCGGCTGTACACGCGAAATCAACATTCGGTACTTCGTCCATCGCCTTTGTCATCACATTTGTGCCATTTGAGGTGCCGGTTGTTGATTCGTTTGTAATACTGGCTGTGCGCAGAAAGGACATCACCTCGTACTTGGGGTGTTTCTTACAGGTGTAAACAAGCCCCCAGTCGGCGTCTCGGCGTCTGCCCGAGACTCAGAATGATAACTCGCTGGTGCATGCACCACCTTTGCCACATCTTGGAGTCCGTGGGGACGCGCTTGTGAAATGTTGGTCGCAATATTAAATGCGCAAGCGGCCGACATGCCGAGGCTGTGACAAATGTCCTCAGACTCGGGTAACAACTGTCCTGATAATGCCGCATTTGCTCCAATCTCGCAACGAACACTCCGTGCCGTGTTCATCACCTTCGTCGCAACGTTTGCGCCCTCAGGACCAACTACCGATGATTCGTTCGCAGAGTTGGCAGCGCGCAAGGCCAAACCAACATCGTCTAGACTGGTGTCTCCATCTAATCCAGTGCTGTTACTTGTCGTTCCCGTCGTTACCTCAGACTCGAAACGAACACTTGTTGATGTATGCAATATGTTTACCGGGCTCAGTAGATCGAGTGTACGCGCTGCCGAGGCTTCGTTTGCATTAATACCTCCGCCGTGAGCTGCCGCATAGGTGTCCATAGGACTTCCGGAAAATTGGACATCATTCGTGTCCCCGGCTGTCACCCCAGACGCCAGACAGGCTTCCACTCGTTCACGTTCCTCCATGATCATCTTTCAGCGCTCCGCACTCGTCAGACGATCACCAGAGTCCATTAGCGAGTCTTTGAAGGGCCTTGCTAGCACCCCACGGGGTTCTGGATAGTCTGGTCGCTCGACTGCCGAAGGCTGAGTTGCGAGCCATTGCTCATAGATCTCACACTCCCACTGGAACAGCTCCCGGTATCTGCAGCCTTCATAAGCCAGCACTTGCCAATCTTGGTACTTCTTCGAGCTCAGACGCACATAGCCGTCTCCTCGCGGCAAATCCCCATCTGGTATCCACATCGCAATCGAGTCGTGTGCTGGTAGGTACACAGTTTGGTCGGACACATTGGTCAACCGAATACTTTGAGGCCGTCCACGTCGAACCCTCGCTACTGACGGGATTAACTTGTCCATTCGACGAACCCACAGTACGTGTTCTTCCATTCCGACTTGACGCTTTGCTAGTCGATACTCTCGCCACTCGTGCGCTTGAATGCCCAAACGCTCGGGTGGCCCGGCATTAACATGAGAGCCGTTGTCTTGACTGTCGATCATGTTTTTGGTCTTGATCAGTGGGATTTGAAATTCGTGCGGCAATTGCGCTGCGCCGTGAAACAGGTCCAACCGAATCTCAGCTAGGATCATAAAGTCGGTTCCGAGTACCACGTCGACGCCTGCACTATGCGCCATTACCACATCTCGAATTTGTACACCATCTCCCATCCGAGCATAATTTTGACGTACGCTCGTCGTGTCGTAGATACCTTGCCTTCGCTGATTCCTTAAAACGTCAATACGACGTCCGTGATCAGGTACGCCCCGGAGCCACAACTTCTTGGCAAAGGTGTCAGTGATCACACCAACGTTCGCTCCCGTGACGAGGAGAATCCTCGTCCGCTTGTCGTTTACAGCGCCTTGCACCAGAGCTCTCATTCTGATCCTTCGGTCAAATTTCTTG